GAGAGAGAGAGAGAGAGAGAGAGAGAGAGAGAGAGAGACACACACACACGCGCGCGCGCATGCACGCACGCACGCACACATGCACACGCGCATGCCAAAAAACAGAAGGGTGATCCTCAGTCCCAAACTGACCTCTTCCCTTGGCCAATGCCTGAACTCAATCAGGATGTAGACTTATCAGGACCCTCTAAACACAGTGAGTCTGAGGGCCTTACCATGATCCTGTAGATACCACCCCTCCTGACATCCAGGCACATCCAATCCACCTCATACCTCTGGCCATGTTCACTTCCCTCCACTAGAAACAAGTATATAGAACAGGTGAGTGTTCCAGGACATCACATGGAGATGACTGTTAGTTATATGTTATGCTAGTAAAACTAACATAAAGGGCCAGGCTTGGGGACTGGGAAGGTGGCTCAGTGGTAGAGCACTTGCCTTGCATGCATGAGGCCCTGGGTTCGATTCCCCAGCACCACATAAGCAAAAAGAAAAAAAAAAAAGGGCTGGGCAGGTGGCTCAGTGGTAGAGTGCTTGCCTTGCATGCATGAGGTCTGGGTTCAATTCCTCAGCACCACATAAGCAGAAAAAGCCGGAACTGGCACTGTGGCTCAAGTGGTAGAGCGCTTGCTTTGAGCTGAAGAGCTGAGGGATAGCACCCAGGCCCAGAGTTCAGGCCCCACGACTGGCAAAAAAAAAAAAAAAAGAAAGAAAGTAATGTAAAACCTCAAAACAAGTCTGCTAACAGATGTAGTTACCCGATACAAATAAAGGAGAGCACTATACACGTTACTATCTTCTTTTTGCAGTACTAGAATTTGAATTCAAGGCCTTACCTTGCCCCCAGCACTTTTTTATTTGCTTTTATTTTACTTTTTAGCTAGGGTCTTTTTTGTCCAGGCACAGCCTTAGACTGTAGCCCTTCTTCCAATGCCTGCTGAGATAGGCAACTTGGGATCACAAATGTAAAGCAACACCTCTGGCTTACTGGGTGAAATGGGATCTTGCCCAATTTTTGCCTGGGCTGGTCTCAAAATGCAATCCTCCCAGAATCCACCTCCCAAGTGGCTGGGAATATAGGCACAAACCACTATATCTGGAAGTGGCACTATGGCTCAAAGTGGTAGAACACTAGCCTTGAGCAAAAAGAGCTTGGGGACAGCACCCAAGCCCTGAGTTCAAGGCCCACGACTAGAAGACAAAAAAAAAAGGTCCAAACCACTACACCTAACAATGTATCAATTTGCTTTCTGTCCGTAACAATAGTTCCAATAACCCTGTAATGGATTTTGCATCAAAATAAGAGGTATTTCAGTGGGGTATAATAAGAAAGGAAAACAGTGTACAAACAGAACTGCATTACTGATCAGCCACACACCTCCATCATCTGGACATTTTTCTCCATTTCTGACTGTAACTTCTCCTTCAGCTCAGCTGCAAAACAAACATAACAAGTAGTTCAGACCAGAGTCTCTACCTACCCTGTAACCTGCTCGCCCCGCAATACCCATGGACAATTGGAATGCTCATAGCAGGCAGGACTTTAAGAAGATATCTGGCTTAAGTAACCAACTTACACCTAAACAAAAGACTGAGATTTCCAGCTAAGCAGGACCTCCTAAAAGACCAGGTAAAGAGCTGGGTACGCGCAACTCAGCTTTTTTTTTTTTTTTTGTCGGTCGGGGGGCTTGAACTCTGAGCCTGGGCGCTGTCCCTCAGCTCTTCAGCTCAAGGC